CTGAAGATATAGTTTACAATATTCTCTTTATACTATATACCCTTTGTACCATGAATGTAGTTTCTTTAACCATTCTGCACAATGTATTTGTTGAAGGGTGTTTTGACTTTTTGGCTAAAGTACAAATTAAATTATCTTGTAATGAATAAAACTGGGCTAAATTAGCATTTTGTCTGAATGGAGTTAAGCGTTAAACAATTCCAGCTGTAAAGATGGGTACACACTATAAAAAAAATTGGAAGAAAAATTCTGTATGAGGAGCGATCGGTTGATTATATGTTCGTTCGTATAGTGCTTTCGACAGCTGATTCCTACTTTTCGGACGAAAAAAAACAAAGGTGCAAGCTAGAAAATTTTTATCATACGTAAACACGTTTGATTTTTGCTCAATGTGTGTATTAATCGTACAGAAATAATCGAATAGAAAAAAACACACATGATCAGAAGCAAAGCATGACCCAGAAGAAGGGGGCAACAAACATAGAAACCATACACTAGAAAGACTGTTTGCCTTTGTCCGAGAATTTTTGTACAAGTTAATAACATTGTCAGTTACATCATGATACGCATCTTTGTGGAAAATTGGATGATCGTTCGATTTTCTCATAGTGTGTACCACACTTCCGTTTCAGTAAGAAAGACTTTATAAGGAGCAGTGTGGATGGATAGGAATTTTTAAAGATATGCTCTAAATGGCAGTTTTAGGCATGCAAGTTTCTGCACATGGTTAAGAGCAGCTGTTTAGTTTTTTGGATGGGTTCATCACCGTTTTACTTCAGTTTTTCCAGAATTGTTTTAGCATTGCAGACAAGCATGTAAATAAAATGGTCTGTGTCATGCTGCTCTGTGTTCACATCTGGAACGTGTAAGTGCTTGACATTTTTAAATTTATTTCATAGTTGTAAATTTTTATTTAAGCCTTATTCACACAGGTGCTGAGATAGTACATCATGAATTGGCTGTTTTTGTGGCTGAAGCTGCCAGGTGCTGCATTCAAACAGCCCTTGCAAGTCCATGGAGATGCAGAGGCTGCATGGACACAGTCCATGTTCAGAGCTGCTCAACTAAACACCTGTCAAGTTAGGGCGAGCAGCTGTGCTTGTGCAACTGATACACTCCCATAGACTTACATGTGCTTCCTAGACATAGCACCTGGCGGCTCCAGCCGCATAACCAAAATACCAATTCACAGTTCCTCAGTGCCTATATGAATGAGTTAATAAAAAGTAACTGGGTTTCTAACAAATGTACATGAGGTAGAATTATATTGGTACAAACTGTATAATGGATAAAACATCCCATACTTGAGTTTGAATGCTTTGATTCAACTTCTAAAATTCCAAAATAACTTCTTACAACTTATCACAGTGAGGGATTTATGGTTGTTAATGACTTGCAGTTGCTTTTATATATCTATAACTAGCTGTAACTATACATGGGACAGACTTGTCACCTCTTGTAAATTATATTGCTACCATGTCTTAAATTTGACTCCATTTCATTTAATTATTTAAACACTGAACCTTTTGGGTCTTGTGTCATGCAGATGCAGAGTTGACTTAAGCGGTTCTGCCCGCCCCTCCTCTCCACTTGCCCAGTCATGGTAAGCTTTGTGTTATCTAAACCAATTCACAAAATACAAAGCCTCCTGTGAATGGATGATGGAGGGAAGAAATGTGCAGTCACACAGCGGCCACATCTCTCCAGAGTGTCGGGAATTTAGCGATAGCTCAATACAACTGTTTATTGTAATAAGAGATAAACCCACCTGTGCACCGTCCTAGATTTGCGATCAGGAGGGATTTTGCTTTCCAGTATACTGCATGTGCACCTTTTGTTATGAATTCCTGGGTCCTTTGACCCCTCTTTTCACCCCACTTTTCTTCTGTTTAGCCCTAAAGAGACCATCATGGGACCACTCTGATGTGAGCATTTTTGCATATATATTTTCTACTGAGCTATTAGGTGGATCAAAGGGGTGTTTTTTCTTTTCACTTTAATGTTGAGTGACTATGTTACATATTCTATAGTCCGTGTTATTATTAACATCTCTGCTCCCAGGACCACTATAACTAGGATTTTTACTACATTTCCTATGTATGATTTTTGATTGGCGGAGTCACATATGATGGTCACACATTGCCACCTTGCTGTTGATTCATGTTTGAGGGTGGCACTATGGGGCGTTTCATTGATGGGCCCGCCCACTGGCTCATTGCTAGGAGGGGGTGGGGGACTACTTCCGATTTGTGGTCCTATAAAGGCTGTAAAAGCAATAATTTCTCCTTCTCTCTGGCTGCATTCTTGCAGCCATTGAAAATACTGTGAGAGCTGTGATTGGTCACAGCTTATTACATGGACAGAGGTCCCGTACAGCGATTGGTGTTCCGCTGTGTCCTCCGCACTGCTCCCCTCTGGGTGGTTATGTACATGGGCTGGACCGTGGTTAAATGCCATTCACACTTTGGGGTTGATTTACTAAAGGCAACTATATTGTGTACTCTACAAGTGCAGTTGCTCCAGAGCTTGGTAAATCAGGAAAATGCTTCACTTTGCAAAGAATACACATGCAAGGAAAATAAAAACAGAATTTTTGCTTGTACGTGGTTGGATGATAGAAATCAGCAGAGCTGGCTTTCCTTTCAGAGCTTCCCCTCTATTTGCCTTTAGTAAATCCACTCCATTGCTGGTCTGGTACATTTTATTAAGGCAACCCATTCAACAAACCACGATGGAAAACAAAGTGGAAATGTAGCATTTTTTCTGATGTAGCATAGCACAACGCACAGTAATGGGATAGCCTGCAGTGTGATACATGAGGGCTTGGATGTCTTTTTCTGAGTAAGGTTGCACATTTCTGGTAAAAAGAATGCACTTTTATATGTCATAGTAAAACAGTGATTTATTTGCTTTGTTTTCCACACTTCAATGAATGAGCACATAATAACTATATAAATTCAATGCAATATTATAAGGGAATCTACTTTGAAAAAAAATATGAATGTTCTCATTTGGTGAACTTCTATTTTTGGTGGCTGCTATGTTAATGAGTAACAAAACTGCCTGGATTCATTAGTAAACTGCAAGGCTAGCTTCTTGTTGAGTGCATAACATTTTCTTAAATTTTACTTGCAGCTCGAGATGAGTTTGAAAGCCACACTGTCACCATGGACCAAATACCAGCATTGGAAGAGTTTGATTTTAGTTGGGAGACTCGGTATCAAGAAGCTGCCATCTACCTCCAGGTTAGAATGATATTGCTGTGGGAGAGTGGTAAAATCAGCTGTCTGTTAGTTGCAAATAAAGTGTTTTTTGGGGGTTTTTTTCTTTTGTTTTGTGGAGAGAATCCATGAATTGAGGAACTAATAGCAAATGTTCAGAATGTTATGGATTACATGTATGTGTGTGGCTTTTTTAGCAGTGTAGGTTCCTGGCAAAATATATTGAAGATAATATAAACATGTATTATATTTTGAAGTGCAAGTAAGTTTTGCAAAATGAAAGTTGAATATTTTTAATTAAAATCATCAGTGGGCTTCCTCCCCACCCACCCTTATACTTATCTCATTACAGTAATGTGCTTGAGAGCTGAGGCTTTTTCCTCTCTCGCTCCTCATTTGATTAGATACAGCAGCTGTGAGGAGAAGACAGGGACAGGGCTGAGCTTTGTGAGTCTTATAGACAGAGCAGGGTTCAGGAGCAAGCATGTACGTATGCCCCCCGAGCAAGCGGCTTGCTGTGGGGGCACTCAAAAAGGTGGATGAGCGAATAGCTCTGCCAGGGGATCTAAGAAGAGGAGGATCAGGGCTGCTCTGTACAAAACTATTGCACAGAGCAGGTAAGCATAACCTGTTTGTTATTTTAAAGCAAGAAAAAAAACAAACATTTAGTGTCACTTTAACCTCTCCTATTACCTATGTGCTAGGAAGATAGATGTTTTTTTTTTTCAGTTCAGTTGATTCAAGACTTATGGCCAGTTCACACAGCTGCTCTGTGCGGTGTGGTTAATTTTGAATGGGCAAAAATTGCACCATACCAAAAGCAGGGCACTACTTCTTAAAACGCATTGCGACTGGATCGCATGTTACAAAAGTACTTACGATCTAGTGCGGGCAAATGCACTGCATTTGCGACCTACGTTTGGGGTGCAATTAACTTTGTATTCACACCTGCTGCAAATGACAAATGGAGTTTGTTTGTTTTTCATGTGGTCTAAATCGCACAGTAGCGCACAGTGCATTCCTGTGCAATTCATGTGCGGGCATGGTGTGAACCAGCCTTTAAATTATTTTTTTTTTTTCTTGCATCGACCTCTGTTTCCCAGGTTTGTAAAGCTACCATCTGATCGCCTGTTCATACTTTCTCAAAATTTTACCAGGATGTCCTTTGGGCTTGTTAGATACTTTTTGGGATGTGTTTCCCACCTCTCAGCTGGACTGCTTTTGGGCATCCCAAAGGTTTCCAACTGTCTGTGTACCTCAATTGACGATAGAGAAATAAAGATTTTTGTATTCACTGTAAAATTATATTCTCTGAGTCCATTGAGGGACACACATCCCGCCCCTCCTTGTTTATAATCATGTGCTTGTTACTGGTTTGCTACTGCATTGAGACATTCTCATAGTAGGAGGGGTTTTACCAGGGCTGGCCTACAGGTTTTTTTTTATATTTTTTTGCCAGTGTCCATTCCTCTTGTAGGTGGCAGTATAACCCAAAGGTTTAACTTTGTGTCCCTCAATGGACTCCGTGAAAAGGATTTTATGGTGATTAAAAAAATCCTCATTTTCAAAATTACCTCATTCTTTTTTTCTGACTTTTAATATTTCAGGGAAACATATAAGCTTATTGAGTAACATTCATTATATGGACTCATACAGTATCTCACAGAAGCGAGTACACCCCTCACATTTTTGTAAATATTTTATTACCGTATTTTGTGCGTCTTATGGAGCGGCCGGCCCAGTATTCCCGCCGCCGTGTTAGAATACTGGGCCGGCTGCTCAGCTCTACTGTGCAGAAGAACCCACTCCTCCATCCTACCTGTTCCTCGGTCCAGTGGTGTCCTGCTTCCATCGGCCCTCTTCTCTCCCTCAGGCCGGCATCTTCAGTGTGGGCACCCAGCTGTGAAAGCTTTCGGCTTCACAGCCGGGTACCCGCTGCGCATGTGCGAGAAGCGCTGCGCTTTGTGAATGGACCTGTCACGTGTCACAAGACTACGGGAAGGAAAGCTCCGTGCAAGTGGGAGTGGGTACCTGTAAAATTCTGGTACTCGCCTCTCCCTCCCTCCCCAAAAGTCTTCAGTCTCTGGTCATCTCCTGTACTATGTCCGCAGTCTCTGGTCCTCTCCTGTACTATATCCGCAGTCTCTGGTCCTCTCCTGTACTATATCCGCAGTCTCTGGTCCTCTCCTGTACTATATCCGCAGTCTCTGGTCATCTCCTGTAGTATGTCTGCAGTCTCTGGTCATTTCCTGTACTATGTCTGCAGTCCATTGGTTCAGAATTTTTTTTTCTTGTTTTCCTCTCCTAAAATCTAGGTGCATCTTATGGAGCGAAAAATACGGTATATCGTTTCATGTGATAACACTGAAGAAATGACACTTTGCTACAATGTAAAGTAATGAGTGTACAGCTTGTATAACAGTGTAAATTTGCTGTCACTTCAACATATCTCAACACACAGCCATTAATATCTAAACCGCTGGTAACAAAAGTGAGTACACCCCTAAGTGAAAATGTCCAAATTGGGCCCAATTTGCCATTTTCCCTCCCTGGTGCGACTCATTATTGTTGCAAGGTCTCAGGTGTGAATAGGGAGCAGGTGTGTTAAATTTGGTGTTATCGCTCTCGCTCTCTTATACTGGTCACTGGAAGTTCAACATGGCACCTTATGACAAAGCACTCTCTGAGGATCTGAAAAAAAGAATTGTTGCTTTACATAAAGATGGTCTAGGCCAGTGATGGCGAACCCGTGGCACGCGTGCCACAGCCGGCACGCCAAGCCTTATCTGTGGGCACGCCAGGAGAATCCAGCGGCGCGCTGTCTTCCCGGCTGTAGTGTGCGTGACAGCCGGGTCCCAAGTGCGCATGCACAAGAAGCAGTGCTCTTTGTGAATGGTAAGGCGGTACCTGGGACACATCCCAGAAGCCGCCGGACCAATCACAAAGCGCAGCGCTTCTCGCGCATGCGCACTGGGCATCCGGCTGTCCGACGAGCGCCCACACTACAGAAGCCGGGAAGACAGCACGCGGCTGGATAAAGGAACAGGTAAGATAAAAAAAACTCTGCGGAAGTAAGAGCGGGTACCTGTCAAATTCAGGTACCCCGCCCCCTCCCTCCCCAAAGGTCAGCAGTCATCTCTGTACTGTCCGCAGTCTCTGGTCATCCCTGTGCTGTCCGCAGTCTCTGGTCATCCCTGTGCTGTCCGCAGTCTCTGGTCATCCCCTGTACTGTCCGCAGTCTCTGGTCATCCCCTGTACTGTGTCCGCAGTCTCTGGTCATCCCTGTACTGTGTCCGCAGTCTCTGGTCATCTCCTGTACTGTGTCCGCAGTCTCTGGTCATCTCCTGTACTGTGTCCGCAGTCTCTGGTCATCTCCTGTACTGTGTCCGCAGTCTCTGGTCATCTCCTGTACTGTGTCCGCAGTCTCTGGTCATCTCCTGTACTGTGTCCGCAGTCTCTGGTCATCTCCTGTACTGTGTCCGCAGTCTCTGGTCATCTCCTGTACTGTGTGTCCGCAGTCTCTGGTCATCTCCTGTACTGTGTCCGTAGTCTCTGGTCATCTCCTGTACTGTGTCCGCAGTCTCTGGTCATCTCCTGTACTGTGTCCGCAGTCTCTGGTCATCTCCTGTACTGTGTCCGCAGTCTCTGGTCATCTCCTGTACTGTGTCCGCAGTCTCTGGTCATCTCCTGTACTGTGTCCGCAGTCTCTGGTCATCTCCTGTACTGTGTCCGCAGTCTCTGGTCATCTCCTGTACTGTGTCCGCAGTCTCTGGTCATCTCCTGTACTGTGTCCGCAGTCTCTGGTCATCTCCTGTACTGTGTCCGCAGTCTCTGGTCATCTCCTGTACTGTGTCCGCAGTCTCTGGTCATCTCCTGTACTGTGTCCGCAGTCTCTGGTCATCCCTGTACTGTCCGCAGTCTCTGGTCATCCCTGTACTGTGTCCGCAGTCTCTGGTCATCCCTGTACTGTGTCCGCAGTCTCTGGTCATCTCCTGTACTGTGTCCGCAGTCTCTGGTCATCCCTGTACTGTGTCCGCAGTCTCTGGTCATCCCTGTACTGTGTCCACAGTCTCTGGTCATCCCTGTACTGTTAATTATTAGTTTGCACTACTGTACGAGTTGTTTTTTCTAAACCAAAAGCTTGATATTCAGGTTTCATTGCAGTGTTGGCACTTTGAAAGAAATAAGTTGGTTTTGGGTTGCAGTTTGGGCACTCGGGCTCAAAAAGGTTCGCCATCACTGGTCTAGGCCAGTGGTGGGCAACCTTTTTTTTCAACTGAGCCAAATCTCGCCAAAACCATGATTGAAATTTATTTTGAGAGCCACATTTTTAAAACTGAAAATACATCTCCCATATAGTAATTCATCCCCCATAGTGTAATTCATCCCCCATGGTGTAATTCATCCCCCATAGTAATTCATCCCCCATATAGTAATTCATCCCCCATATAGTAATTCATCCCCCATATAGTAATTCATCCCCCATATAGTAATTCATCCCCCATAGCAATTCATCCCCCGTATAGTATTTCATCCCTCGTATAGTATTTCATCCCCCGTATAGTATTTCATCCCCCATATAGTATTTCATCCCCCATATAGTATTTCATCCCCCATATAGTATTTCATCCCCCATATAGTATTTCATCCCTCATATAGTATTTCATCCCTCATATAGTATTTCATCCCTCATATAGTATTTCATCCCCCCATATAGTATTTCATCCCTCATATAGTATTTCATCCCCCCATATAGTATTTCATCCCTCATATAGTATTTCATCCCCCCATATAGTATTTCATCCCTCATATAGTAATTCATCCCTCATATAGTATTTCATCCCCCCATATAGTATTTCATCCCTCATATAGTAATTCATCCCTCATATAGTATTTCATCCCCCCATATAGTATTTCATCCCCCCATATAGTATTTCATCCCTCATATAGTATTTCATCCCCCCATATAGTATTTCATCCCCCCATATAGTATTTCATCCCCCCATATAGTATTTCATCCCTCATATAGTAATTCATCCCTCATATAGTATTTCATCCCTCATATAGTATTTCATCCCCCATATAGTAATTCATCCCCCCACATAGTATTTCATCCCCTCATATAGTATTTCATCCCTCATATAGTAATTCATCCCTCATATAGTATTTCATCCCTCATATAGTATTTCATCCCCCCATATAGTATTTCATCCCTCATAAAGTAATTCATCCCCCATATAGTATTTCATCCCCCCATATAGTATTTCATCCCTCATATAGTAATTCATCCCTCATATATAGTAATTCATCCCTCATATAGTAATTCATCCCTCATATAGTAATTCATCCCCCCATATAGTATTTCATCCCTCATATAGTAATTCATCCCTCATATAGTAATTCATCCCTCATATAGTATTTCATCCCTCATATAGTATTTCATCCCTCATATAGTATTTCATCCCCCCATATAGTATTTCATCCCTCATAAAGTAATTCATCCCTCATATAGTATTTCATCCCCCACAGTACTATTCCCCCCCCCCCCTTCTAGTAAGCCAAGTCCCCCGTGTCAATTCACTTACCTTTTGCGTTCCTCTCGCTGTCTTCCCGCGCCGTTCGGGTCTTCAGGGCGGACTGTGAGAGGAGCCTAGCTCCCCTCCCCTCACGTTCGGCACGCTGCCCCGCCTACACACATCCTGACAGCCACATCCGTAGGCCGGATTAAAAGGTCCGCGCGGACTTTTGGGGCTGCCAACCGAGAGGAGGCAGGGGAGCGGCCGACCGAGAGGAGGGAGGGGAGCAGGCGCCCGGCACACAGAAGAGCCGCATTAGACTGGGTAAAGAGCCGCATGTGGCTCGCGAGCCGCGGCTTGCCGACCACTGGTCTAGGCTATAGAAGATTGCCAAGACCTTGAAACTGAGCTGCAGCATGGTGGCCAAGACCATACAGCGGTTTAACAGGACAGGTTACACTTGGACCAGGCCTCACCATGGTCGAACAAAGAAGTTGAGTGCATGTGCTCAGCTTCATATCCATATTCATCAAGAGAGCCCAACTGTGTCTGCCCCTTTTATGTCCAGCTCCTCCATTCATAGAAGTCATACTATAGCTTCTATCAAAGAAACAGGATCCAGGAATGGAGGACAGGAATATGATTGTTAGGTGTGCCTCCTCCATTCATAGACAATGTTTCATTCGCAGAAGTTGTAGTACAGTATCTATTAATGTAGCTGCTGGGCAGAAAAAGCGGGCATGGTCGCCTATGTTGATGAGAGCCTGTGACAGCCCTTTTGTTGTATTGCACTGGAAGATTACAGTTTTGTTGGCTATTATCCCTGCAGTGAATGGAAATCATGGAGCAGGGTTTGGGACACAGTGAGACAGTATAACCATGCAAGTTATAATGAGAAGGGACTAAAACAATTGAAAAGCCCTCACTATAATCAGTGCTCAGCACAGTAAAGTTTTCTTTAAAACAACAGTAATCTGATCTTGCAGCCTTTACATCTTATTCAGTCAACTTTATCAGGTATTAAACATTCTTATGACTTTCTGATTTTCACTGTAGGAGTGTTAAAATATTATTTTTGTACTAGAAACGTATATCTGCTTCATATTTTGAGTTTGGTGCAGTACTGTGGGAGGGATACGTTTAGTCTAGCATTTATGGGTTAAGGCTATAGTTTAGGTCAGGATTAAGATTAAGGGTTAGATTAGTTTTAAGGCACAGTAGTGACATACAAATGGTCAGAGTTCCTCCTGTGCTATGAAAATGAAAGTATGCAACCTAGTCTAAAGCTGCCAACACTCAAAAACTGATACCAAAACAGTGTTAGTGATAAATAAAAAATATATAAGTAGTGTAGCGCTTTTAACAAATAAAATACGTGCCAAATATACTCAATAGAATCCTAAAAAATAAATAAAATATATAATAATCCTTCATATATAATAATAAAAGACAGATATGATTAGTGCCAAACTAAAATCTATTACCCACTTCATATATATTTCAAATAGTGAGTGCCTATTGGTAAATATCACAGTGCACACACACCTATAGTGAACACGAATAATAAAAGGAGCTATATCCAATAGAAAACTATAAAGTATAATACACAGTGCCAAAATAAAACAGTGTCCTCTCAGTTGAAAAAAAACTCTTAACAATGTCCTTTTGTGAAAACAATATAATCATGCAGTGTGAGATGGTGATACATCCGTGATTGTGTCAAAAAAACAAACACTCTTCTCCTAATAACGGCTAGATTGCCTCCTCACCTCCTCCCAATGACCCCAAAGGGCCAACAGGCTTGCAGGATCTCCCTGGATCCTTGGTTTATAATGGCCAGCAGCTTCCTTCCTTTATTGGGTCTCCTTATTGGGGCTCCTATCGCCCCTGGACAGCCAAGATATTTTCTGAAGAATAATAGCTCACCAGTCCAGTGAGCCAAGAAGAAACTCTAAGTGCAGTACTTCAAACCACTTTCTTTTATTAAACAAGGTTTAAGAGTAACACATTTCAAAGCAGTCTTCCCTCCTCACCGATGTGTGTGTACACTGCATGTGAATGGGACTTCCTGGGTGTAGCAAAATGGTGTCCCATTCACATGCAGTGTACACACACATCGGTGAGGAGGGAAGACTGCTTTGAAATGTGAGTGTTACTCTTAAACCTTGTTTAATAAAAGAAAGTGGTTTGAAGTACTGCACTTAGAGTTTCTTCTTGGCTCACTGGACTGGTGAGCTATTATTCTTCAGAAAATATCTTGGCTGTCCAGGGGCGATAGGAGCCCCAATAAGGAGACCCAATAAAGGAAGGAAGCTGCTGGCCATTATAAACCAAGGATCCAGGGAGATCCTGTTGGCCCTTTGGGGTCATTGGGAGGAGGTGAGGAGGCAATCTAGCCGTTATTAGGAGAAGAGTGTTTGTTTTTTTGACACAATCACGGATGTATCACCATCTCACACTGCATGATTATATTGTTTTCACAAAAGGACATTGTTAAGAGTTTTTTTTCAACTGAGAGGACACTGTTTTATTTTGGCACTGTGTGAGCACTGTGTATTATACTTTATAGTTTTCTATTGGATATAGCTCCTTTTATTATTCGTGTTCGCTATAGGTGTGTGTGCACTGTGATATTTACCAATAGGCACTCACTATTTGAAATATATATGAAGTGGGTAATAGATTTTAGTTTGGCACTAATCCCATCTGTCTTTTATTATTATATATGAAGGATTATTATATATTTATTTATTTTTAGGATTCTATTGAGTATATTTGGCACGTATTTATTTGTTAAAAGCGCTACACTACTTATATATTTTTTATTTAACAGTAGTGACATAGTAGTCAGTGGGAGGAACC